CTCAAATGTAACTTAGATTTCTCATAAAATTTGGGAAGTTATTAACAGGTAATGGAATCTAATGCCTGTTGGTTTTTTTATTGTGAAAAGAACAAAGCAATAAGAAATGTGATATTTTCCAAATACTTGTAAAAGTTACTTTTATGTATGCTTAAAAGGTATTGTGAAGGGATGGTTGATGTCAGGGTTTGTTTTTTTGTGTTTTTTTCAGTGAAGGGAAGTTATAGTTCTCATGTCTTTTCAATAAATAATCTTGGGCTATATTTTCAGAATAAACTGTTGAAGTAAATTGTGTGCAAGTCACATCCTGCCTAAGCCAGACATCCTCAGCAGAGAGAGCTGATGGAAGTAACGGGCTCAGACCTGTTCCATGAAAGATTTAGTACTGTTTATGGAGGGGCCAAGGAATGACAATGATAGTGACCAAGGGATCCAGATTCCTGTAGCTAGCTATTGTTAACCCTGTTAACAATCCAGTTATGGTCAAGGATGGCCACAACCATTACATTTAGAAACTCAAATAGAATATCCAAGGCTAAACTAAATTGACCATCTCAAACAAAACACTGCTTCCAACGGAGCTACAGAATCTCCAATGAAGCCACAAACAATCCCTGAAAATCTGTGACAGCATGGATCTCGCACATCCTCAGCAGTATATCCCTAGCAGCAGGGTTTTCTCTCTCAGTATCTTTCTTACCTTGTCATTTATTTGTCCAGTTTTCTGTTTCTTCTTTGCCCTCACCATCATTTTTTCTTCTCCATCCCTTTTTTCCTCTTTCTCTCCATGAGGCCATTATATCTTCCACACTTTCCTTCGGCCTTTTCCATTTAGCCTTCTAGTTTCTCGCAGTGCCTTTCCAGAATGCAAGGTATTGGCTGGCCACATACCCATTAGGGATGTAAAATTTCAATTAATTTGCATCGACTATTCAATTAGTCGATAAGAGCACTTCCACCTTTGAAGTGTAGCAACAGCCCCAACTTCAAAGGCAAAAGCGTAGTGGGGGGGTCTCAAACAGTCCCCTGTTGGCTGCATGCTCCCTGAGGCATTTCAGAGTGGCAGCCCCACATGAAGCCCAGGGTCAGCTGATCGTGGGCTCCATGTAGCGCTGCCATTTTGAAACACCACTTACAGCCTGGGGTCAGCTGTGGACTCCCATCTGGCCACGAGCTGTATGTGGCATTTCAAAGTGGCAGACCCCAGGCTCTACACAGCGCTGCTGCTTTGAAGCACCCCATTTTCTCCCCCCCTTACTGCCTCTTTCTGATAGAGGCACCAAGGGGAGTAGAAGAGACTAGTCAACTAGCATGTTGACTAGTCGCTCACATTTCTATTACCCATGTGACCAATTTCCTCCTATTGCCAAAGACCTGGCATGAGAGATCTTCTGATCCGCTTGAGAATGACCAGTTATTTCTTAAGGGGAAGCAGGTTATTCAGGTCTGTTCTCTAGCACACCTTAAGCCCTTCATCCAACATGATCTTCTAAAATGCATCTTTAATTGAAATACCTATAACCCTGCTGTCTGGACTTCATTATACAGGTTGGACCTCTCTGATCCAGCACCTTCGGGACCTGACTGGTCCCAGATAAGGGGATTTTCCAGACCAGGGGAGATCCTTCCCCTAAAGGCCCGTGCCAAACCACCACCCACCTGCCTGGCCAGCGTTCACTCCCTGGGCCAGAGCTCTCCAGCTCCTGCTAGCCCAGCTGCTGCCGGGGTCAGAGTTGCACAGCCTGGACTGGAGCTTCCTGGCTCCCACCAGGGTCAGAGCTGGGCAGCTGGAGCTTTGTGGCTGCTGCCAGCCCCCTGCTACTGCCCAGTTGCTGGGGCCAGATCTCCCCACTGCAGTGCCCGCTCCCCCCCGCAGGGCTCCCAAGTGAGTTCCACTCCTAACCGTCCCTCTCCCCTCCTCCCACTCCACCCCTGCCACACTACTACCTCGTGGCCAGACCTCCGTATACCTGGACTCTGTGGTCCAGGAACATTGGTGGTCCTGCCAGATCATGGATGTTGCTGGATCAGAGAGTCTTGGTTAAGAGAGATGCAAACTGTATTCTTTTCTTAAAAACAATGCAAGGAAAAATCAGCAGGGAATGTATATCACTATCTAGGCCTATTGTTCTAGTTTCCCATCTCTATGAGAGGAATGAGTTGTATTGAAAGATTTCACATGTGAATGAATCCATTATTTACAGTCTTCAGATATGACCAATGCAGCTATTAGAAATGCTTGTCCTACTTAATTGCACCTAGCAGGTTCAAATGGTGAAGAAAACCTTTACCAGTCAAAAAGCCAGTGGTGTCTCTTGGGCCTATGAGATATCTCATACCCACAATGCTGGAACCTTCATATCAACATATCACTCCTTTCACAATGCACTGTACATTTAGGGATACAATTTAAGAAGCAGATTTTAAAAACAAAATATATGTTTGAACAAAGTCAAGCTCTCTTTTGTTAGCAATAACGATTGTCTGGAAAGACGGAAGCAGAGAGTTTTACTGAATGGAAACTATTTCTTATGCAACACATACAATCTGTACACTATGATAGCAGCAGGCGTGGAAAACAAAAAACACTTTTGATAATCACTTTGGATGATGTAGTATGCCTCAGTCATGGCTCTGCTTCATGTACATCGCAAAAATTATTCAGTCATCCTAACCTTAGGAAAATATAAACATTTTCATAAGTGTGTAAAAGTATGTCACTTTATAATGATATTTTATAGCATAAAATATTGGCATGTGTATTGAAAATGGGCGAAGATTCAGCCATCTGATTTTGAGCAGGTTATGCATACAGGCACTAACATTTGTAGACTGTTTAATAACAGTATTTGGCACTGTCTTTTCGAGCTGCTTAAACTAATTAATGCATTTGCTCTCTACAGGGCAAAATTGGGTTTTCAGAAACATTTCTAAAATGATGTGGATGATTGCTAAATATTTCATTATTTTGAGCTAAAACTTCTAACATTTTGTGACAGTAAAGTTACAGTATATACTGATTAATTTGAAAAATGTACAGTGAATCAGAAAATATGATCTCTGTCCTTACATACAGATACATAATTGTTTTATTATACAATATTTTTAGAATGTTAAAAGGTACTCAATAATTTGGCCATCACGCTACAAAGAACCATTATTGCTGTGCTCTCAAATGATGATTTTGGAACCATTCCATTGTTTCCTGTAACTATTCCATGCTCCAGTTAAATTTGCACAGACTTCTCATTTTATTCCTACAGGTTTTGTAAAGTTCCAGGTCCACCTACCCTGCTGGGCCTAACCCGCCTCCTACTCCTCTGCCAAAAAGAGGGTGGAGGGAGAGGAAAAATTTGGAGCGAGTCCCTGGCAATGTGGATTTACTTTATTTCATTGATTTAAAAAATGACATCAGGCAATAATTCCCTGAAATCCCTGAGTGCTTAAGGTTAACACTAATCTTGCTGGCTTAAAAAGAGGTTAAAAAATAATAAGTAACAATTTGATTTGAAATAAACCTTTCTAAAGAAATCATAGTAAACAAAATCTGTTTGCCTAAGGAAACCCTCCTAGCAATCAGCTAGTAACACAACTGCATGTGCTAATGAACCCAAAGCTGTTAATGTGGTTTCTTCAGTTAAATTGATTCATGAATTTTGAAGAGAACATTATCTAATGAATTTTCTTTGAATAGAAAGCAATTAAAAGGACAAATCAGTCTGATTAACCCCAAAGTCACCCTACTGCCACAAATGGTGTACAGTTTGAAATTATATCATAAAAAACTAGAGCAGATTTGCTATCTCTTTGCCCTCTGCTAATCCATGTAAATTAATGAACAACAAAGTTAATTTCTTTGATGACCCTTTTCTAGTATCACCTGGATTATGCTGATGTTTAATTTGCTTAATGTTATAATAAAGACTAAACAGATTTTTTCAATGAAGTGATTATCATTCTCTTCAGTTAAGGAGTCATTTTTATTATTTAACACACAAATAATGGTGTATGGGTTTCCTTTAAGAACAAAATCACATTTATCTAGGTTTGCATATAATATGGTTGCTGGCACTCAGTCGCAGAATAAGAAGAAAGTATTTTAATCAATTTTGTTCATTGCTGAAGGAGGAAACTAGTATTTTAATCATTTGCTTTTCATTTGTTATTAGTTTGTTACTGTCGGTAGAAATGTTTTGTTGTTTTCATCACAGCTTCTGCAAGTACCTTGGAAGAACAATAGATGTTAAACCAAACTAAATCCTAAACTAGCTATAAGTTTTCTTTATGTAAAACAATTCTTGGTTGCAAAGTTAAAACCATACAGTGGGGGAAATGTTCTAATCCATTCATTTGTGCAGTATTGCAACATGTTGAAAACTAAAAGCAATTTGATAATTGTAAATTAAAAATAAAATAATGGAAGTTTCTTTATTTGTCATGCCCTTATCATTAAGGATGCACTGTACATTGAAGGTCACAGCCAGTCCTTACATTTTATAATGTCTAGAATTCAGAACAGTAGCTTGGGGGTCTCTACTATAAAATGCAGTCAGCCAGGATAATACCAAGTCCACTGGCTCTAGGGCTTCTTTCCCAGTGTGTCCCAGCTGAAGTTTGAAATTAACTAGAGATACAAGAGCTTTGTAAAATAGGTAGAGCCAGTTATTTCTTCCCTCTTTAATTTGACTCTGTGCTAATTTATATTCTTCCAGTTTAATGGAAAACCATATTGTATGAGTTAACAGGATAATTGTACTTGAAACAAATTAAAAATATAGAAAAATCAAAGCCTTAAATCCCTTTTTATAGTGATCAATTACTTGAAGCACTCTAATAATCATGTATTTAAATATAGGACACAATAACAGGACTGAGTATTTGGGCTGTGTTAAATTAAAATAGAAAAGTTGCTGTTCATTCCATAGTTGGTGTAAGAGTTCTTAATGATTTTTATCTTGGCTATTTAAGCCATCCTTGTGTATTGCTGCTGCTTTTTTCAGATTCATTCACCAGACAAGTGTTATGGACCCTGTTGAGAGATGTGAAATTTGGAGAGGCAGTTTCTTACAAGCAATTAGCAGACCTGGCAGGCAACAGCAACGCAGCAAGAGCAGTGGGAGGAGCAATGAGAAGCAATCCTGTAAGTTCATGTCAACTCTCAAATAAAGTTGATGGAAGATGGTGGGTTTAAACAGAAAGCTTTGTGGGCTAAATGTCATTAGATTAAATTTATCTGCTATGAAAACTACTGTACCATGAGTAATAAGGTCAGTAAGTGTTTTTAATCAGCATTAATGCATAAACCAGTTTAATATGATTTATTCCCCACCAGTTATGTTGTTAGTAGGTTTGAAAAGAAGCGTTTGACTTGTTTTAATTTAATTCATCAACCTATACAATTTTTTGTTATTCTTTAAACATTTTATATGCTTGGGAATGGAGAATCATTTGCCACTTAACAGTGACACTTTCTCCAAGAATGCAAATGACTTTAACTAAGTTATGAACTAGTACATCCCATTGGGCCTGAAAATAGTTCTGGCAATGTGAGAGGAGTGAATAGATTCTTCATTCATAAAGGCACAAATATGACTCAGATTCCCAGCATCATGGGTTCTGGGCTTTCTGGAATGGCCAATTCTCTCCTCACTTCGGAGGCTGGACCAGAACCTCAGCTGGTGTAAATGGATTAGCTCCATTAAATTCAGCAGAATTATGAACCTCTGATTTTGTAAAGCCATTGGTGAGCCCTCTGAAAGTTGCCTCCAATACTTTCAGCATACCATGATGACTCAAGCTTTGTCTGGGATCCACTATTGTGGATATACTAAACTTAAGGTTATGTTGATCCTGCAACATGGTAGGTAATTAAAAATCAGCATATGGAGGATGAAAAACGAAGAAGGAGTTTGACTTCTCAGCCACACTGAGTTTTGGGTTTGGGGATATTTGCCCTTTCCCTAAGATCAGACTACCTTGTGGAATGATTGGATATGTTACTTATCTCAGTGTGCATAGGTGGTGGGTGAAATTGCAGCTTCAGGACACAAGCTCCCCAACCTATGACTCCATCCATACTCCACTCCTGCCCCACCCAGACTCTGCCCCCACTCTGCCCAGGCTCCACCTCTGCCCATTGTCTCCATCTTCTCTTCTCTCCTTGTTTCTGTTCACCCCTTCTGGCCAAATCCTTGAACCCAAATGTGACAAATAACATTTTAAAAAACACTCTTCTGAAATTTCTTTCTAAAGAAAATGGGAGCATGTTTTCAACTGCATGCCAGATCATGAAGACTGGATATACAGAAGATACCTAATTAAAAGCTCTAAATTTGGGAATAAAAAATGTCAGTCACAGGTTTTTTGATATACCCTGAAGTTTGTCAGAGATTTATTTGCAAAACTTTTGTAGTGTGGGCAAGGGCAATTCAGCTGCCCTGCTGAATACAACATTAAATATTATGGAATACATAAATGTAGCCCTTCTCTGTTTTACATTTTCTTCATCAGTACTTCTAAGCTGATTTTATATTTTAAGTTTACACTTAAGCCTTCATAAGGTAAGCATTCTAGATTACTATATATTTAAACTCACTGAAACAAAGACATTATTTTAAATTAAGTCAGAGCAACTCAGTGTGTTCATAACAAAGTTGATTGCATTTAGAAAAAGGGAGCACTAATTTATTTTGTATATGATTTTCATAAAAAGACACGTTTATGAAATTTCACAATATGTTTGTTAAAAATAAGTTTACAAAGATTTTAGGCATAACAGAGGCTTTTATATCTTAAATGAGGCACTGATTTTGGTGGGTTCTCTTAAAACTAGTTTATCAATTATTCATAGGTAAAAGGAAAATTTATTTGTCCAACTATCTGGAAGAAAAGGCATGTTGTCTCTTTAAGGGTTCTCTTTAATAAGGGGGTGGGGAGTGAAAGGAGAGGAGGGATTGTTAGAAAGGACGGGAAGTCTTTGGAAGCAAGTTTTTATACTACAGTAAAATGTGTGTTTTAGGTAAAGGTGGTCTTTTGAAGAATTTATTTTAAAAGCTATATGTCTGACAATCCAAGCATTTAAGGCTAAAACTGAATACTCAGATTGTGCATCTAAATATTTATGCAAGTTTTTAGAGATGTGATTTTATATTCTTCAGCAACTAACTAATGAAAATTTTAAACTAATGCACAACTGTTTTTGCCAGTAAATTCAGGGTGGGTACATGCCTGTTAAATGGTTTCATTAACACTTAACAGCTTTTTCACAGGTTCAGTGTTATGCTAATAGGTCTAGCAAAGGAGAAGGCTTTTCACTTTAAAGTTCACAGATCCACATTGGGGAAGAATCATCAGTCTGCAAGTTGTAACAGCCTGCTGTGGGAGCCTTCAGGAACAGTCAGAATAGGGATAGAATGAGGGGATGGTTGGGCACTAAGACCCAGGAAGGCATTGCCTTCCCTTGCCTCGAAGCGCATATCTACACTAGGAAATTGTTTCAAAATAAGTAAAATCAAAATAATAACTCCAGATTTAACATAATCGAAATAGCATGTCCCCACTATAGGGAGCATCGAAATAGCTCAGAATTATTTTGAAATAGCATGTCCACACTGATTGGAGCCTGCCTTGGACTTAGAGTCCCCGGAAGCACTCCAGGAAGGGCACTAGGAGGGCAGATACTTCCTGTGGCTGCTTGGTCAGGCAAGCTGTGATGCGTGCTTTCAGGGTTTCCTCTCTATGGCTACATCTCACACACCACTCCCCATTGCCTCCCGCATTGCTGGACACAAAGTGGACGCAGTGAGCTCTGGTTGCCCTTGCCGATGCCACAGCACTCACAACATGGAGCAGGAGCTGCTGCAAAATAGTGCCATGCTCATGGGCCTTTGGCTGTTCCTCATTGCGCAGTCCTTCCACAGTGCCTGCATGCTGCTCCATCAGGTAAAGGACCAGCCTAAACCTCAGGCCTTCATCACCCAGGTCCCGGTGCTGCAAATGCCTGTCACTCCCCTGGACACCACTGCTTCGGGTGGTAGGAGATCAGTTTGGACTGGTGGGACCACATCATCCTGCAGCTATAGGATGGGCAGCAGTCGTTCCAGAACTTCTGCATGCCTAAGGCCACCTCCCTGGAGCTCTGTTAGTGGCTCACCCCTGCCCTCAGGTGACAGGACACCCAACTGAGACTTGCCATCCCTGAGCAGAAGTGTGCCACGATTGCACTCTGGAAGCATGCCACACCAGACAGCTACCACTCCCATCAGGAACCAGTTCAGCGTGGGGAAATCCACAGTTGGGGTCATGCGTTTGCAAGTAGGCAAAGCCATCAACCACGAGCTGCTATGGAGAGTCGTCACTCTGGGAAACATTAACACCATTGTGGACAGCTTTGCCGCCATGGGCTTCCCCAACTGTGTGGGGTGGGGTCATAAACAGCCCCCGCCATGCCTCAGATTATATAAACAGAAAGGGGTACTTCTGCAGGCGCTTGTGGCTCTAAAGAACACTTCACCCACATCAACGTCAGCTGGGCAGGGAAGGCTTATGAAGCCCTCATCTTCCGGAACTCCAGTCTATTCCAAAAGATGCATGCAGGCACCTTTTTCCCCAACCACACCATCAGAGTCAGGGATGTGGACATGCCCACCTGAATCCTGGGCCTATCCCTTGCTCCCCAAACTCATGAAGCACTACATGGGCAGCCTGGACCCCACTGAGCAGCATTTCAATGCTAGGCTGAACAGGTGCTGCATGGTGGTGGAGTGTGCATTCAGCTGCTTAAAGGGGAGTTTCAGAAGTCTCCTCACCTGTCTGGACCTCAGTGAGTGCAACATCCCCTTTGTGGTGGCCACAATATGCTCTACAACCTATGTGAGAGCAAGAGAGAGACTTTCTTGCCAGAGTGGGGGAAAGAGGCTGAGCGGCTGGCCAGAGCAAATGAGCAGCTGGACACCAGTGTCATTCGGAGAATATATCAAAAAGGCTGTACTCATCAGGGAGACCTTAAGGGAGAGTTCCGTAAGAGGTCAGCTTTGAGACCTCCCCTCCCATGCTTCTCGACAGATGGCCTCTGTATTCCCCCTGTGTGCCTTTTCTCCCTCACGCCTCCTTTCCCCTGCCTCCTTTTCCACCTTCACCCTCCCCTGCAGAGCAAATAAAAAAGCCTTCGTTTGTGAAAAAACAAGACTGTTTATTGTGGGGATATACAAGAGGGGAGGGACTGAAGAAAGAACCTGGACTTGGGGAGGGAGATTCAGGAAGGGGGCTGGGACTGGCACCTGCCTCAGGTTGTTTGGGAGGCTTTGGCTGCCTGAGAGGTCCCACCACCCCATATTCTGGGGCCCCAGTGGTCCCTGGAGGGGTGTGGTGGGATAGGAAGGAGATGGCTGGTGGCCTGTTCCATGCATAAGGCCATGCGCTCCATCACCAAGGTGAGGGAGGAGCACCTGGCGTCATGGTGGCCCGCCATCTGGTCCTAGGCAGCCCTCTGCTGCTCCTGTTCAGCAGCCCACTCCTGACGTTCCTCTTGAAGCCCCTGGACAAGGGACTGGAGGCAGGCCATCTGCTTTCTCATTAGGTCTTCCTGGGTTCTCTTCCTCCTGTGGATCCCACAGTTGGGCAGATGGCCTAGGGAGTGCAGGACATGCTAAGCTGGCCCAGCTGTGAAGAAAATTTACAAGGGCAGTCATCCAGGGAGACACTGTGTAAGAAGCTTCATCCTAATCTCTGAGCCAACACCAAAGGTCTCGGTTCAGAAGATGGTGATATGCTTCAAGCAAGGCCATATCATATGTTGCTTAGCCAGCAAGCCCTTTCCTGCAGTGGCACAGATGTCCCAGGTGAGCATTGCTATACCCATGGCCTGGGGATACACAGGAATGGGAGGATGCTGGCTAGGCATGGGGCTGAGTGCTCCAGACTGGCACTCCATATGCACCCACGTGCACAGGCTATTGTTCGACCCCCAGGCCAAGTAGGCTGAGTGAGGCGTGTGCAGCCCCTCACAGCCCACCGCCTGTCACTGCATGTAAATAGGGAAAGTTATAGAACTCACTTCAAGTTCCTCCACTGGGAACATCAGATGCCAGGGAGACATCCTGGGAGAGGGGAACTCGCTCCAGGGTGGGGAGCAGGTCCTGG